CATTCCATATCCGTTCCGTATTTTATTGTATTGACGCTATACGTAAGCTTCCGTTCCGTATCAGTTCCATACTTTTTATTGTACAATTTATATCATTACGAAAGTTTTATTTTAAAAATTTGTATCTTTTGAAAAAGACAATAGATTTAATTAAGAGGTGAAAGAATAAATAAATATCAGCAAAATTTTAACAGAGCTGGTACAAATATAAGAACTTGACAACACTGTTTTCGATACGCTTCAGTCCGTCCGCCAAAAAAATGTATGGAAGGAAAGGATATGGAACGGAAGGGAAACGGAACGGATAGTGTGCATTGTCCTGTTCATTTACATAATATAATATTTTATGTAAACGGAAGGGAGCTGATATGGAAGATATAGTTAGAATCAACCTTAAATTGAAACTTTGTACATTTATCGCGAACTAATGACAGTACATCAATTTAATGAGTTTGTATATTCTGACGAGGATCGCCATGATTAAAAGGTTGATTTTACTATACTTTCCGTTTCCATTCCATATCCGTTCCGTATTTTTTATTTTATTGACGCTATACGTAAAGGGTTTGGTCTCACTATACCTTCCGTTTCCATTCCATATCCGTTTCGTATTTTTGATTGTATTCACGTTATATGTAAAGGCTTCCGTTCCGTATTAGTTCCATACTTTTTATTGTGTTTCCGATGCACTTCCAGTCCGTCCGCCAAAAAATCTATAGAAGGAAAGGATAAGAACGGAAGGGGAAACTGGAACGGATAGTGTGCATTGTCCTATTATTTACATGGTATAATATTTTTGGCATGTAAACGGAAGGAAACGGAAGGGAGGTGATACGGAAGGTATAGTGAGAATCAACCTTAAAGGTTGATCCTCACTATACCTTCCGTTCCATTCCATTTTATATCCATTCCATATTCGTTCCGTATTTTTATTGTATTGACGCTATACGTAAGCTTCCGTTCCGTATCAGTTCCATACTTTTTATTATTTACAATTTATATCATTACGAAAGTTTTGTTTTAAAAATTTGTATCTTTTGAAAAAAGACAATAGATTTAATTAAGAGGTGAAAGAATAAATAAATATCAGCAAAATTTTAACAGAGCTGGTACTAATGTAAAAATTTGGCAACGCTGTTTCCGATAGGCTTCAGTCCGTTCGCCAAAATATGTATGGAAGGAAAAGATATGGAACGGAAGGAAATGGAACGGATAGTGTGCATTGTCCTATCCATTTACTTGATATAATATTTTTACATAAACGGAATGAAACGAAAGGACGCTGATATGGAAGGTATATTTAAGAAATCAACCTTTAACGATTTATTGGTTCTGAATTGGTTCATACCAAAATTGTTCTATCGGAGGAGGAAGTTAATCACCGCGATTTTATAGATTTATTGTGTCTCCATTTCTTCAGTTACAACTCATCATGCAATCTCAGGGCTTTTGACAAAAATTGAGTATCTGAGACAGCAGTTTACAGAGGTTAATTCACAATCTTCGATATCAGTCATACCAAAGTTTATTGCACGAATGGTTGTAGTCTCGGCGCACTTAGTGATTAGGTGTTCGGTGTTCTAGTGTTCCTCCATTTTTCCCACATAATTTGAATTCGCCGTTGTTTCTTAGCTTCAATTTATTGAGTTGTTTATTGAGGAGTCAGTGTCATATTAAAAACCGCGTGAAAATCCGAATATTGTTCTTAATTAAATCAAAGAAAATCTTCAATTTTTCCAAGTCCTGAGAAAATGTTCTAGCGTTTAAGTTGGTTTCCACTTGTGAAGCAGAACTATTTTGGTCCAGTTAGTGAAGTGTTTGCTCTTTTTCTAGCTGTATCGTTTGCTTTTTCATTATCTTCTATAACTTCTTTGTCTAATTTGTTCAGCTTCTTTAGGTATTATTTGATCAACTTCGAATTGATGGTTACCGAGCTGATCGCTTTTAAGGCTTCTTGAATATTGGATTGTTTCCAATAGTTCCTATTTAAGATAATATGTACGCATCTTTCGATAGCGTATATTTCTGCCTGAAGGATGCTGGGGTTTGGAGTATTTAATTTAATAAAATAAAATTAAAATTAAAAAAAAAAAATAATTAAAAGTTAATTTACTTTTTTTAATTTTTGCCTGAAGAATGCCTATTGATTCGGAGTGTTTAGTTTTTAGCCCAGTTACTCCTATTCCTGTTCATGCATTGCTTTTGGAAGCGTCGATGTACTACTTTATTGTATGGTCTTGAGCAGTTTACTGACATACTCTCCATGATTCTACTACCCGGGTTGGGTCTTGGCCGACTCTACTATTTGCTTCCATTGCCAGCTGGGTCATATTCTATTCCAATTGTTCTCATCTCTGTTTTGATGTTGTTACGCTATCTCATTCGGGGGCTCCCTAAAGATCTTCGTCGTCCTGGTTCTTCTTCCCAAGTCAGTTGTACCATGCGTGTCTCTTTTACCATGCCAGGGCTGTCTTTGCATTTATCTCCACCACAATATTTGGATCTTTGTATAATTCCCTTATTCCTTGATTGGTTCTTCCTGATTGGTCGCTACTGTTGGGTTACTGGGCTTCGCAGTGGTCCAAAAATCTTAAGTAAAATCTTAAGTTAACAGGCGGTCGTATAACTGTTTTATAAATTTTAATTTTGGTTCTGACTTTCAATGTTTGTACTGATTTTAGTGCATGGAGCATTTGTTTCCATTATGTATTCGGAGTTTAATTTCTTCTATTTGATTATTATCTTGAGCACATGTGGTGCTCCTAAATACTGTTGTAAAAAAGTTGCGACCCTCTCTAAATTGTACCCTCTCATAGCGATATTTTGGCCTACTCTGTCTCTATGTCATGTTCTGCTAGTATGCATATACTTGGTTTTGTCTTCGTTTATTTTGGGCCCCTAAGTTTGTGTTTCTACGATCGAAAAGAGGTCTTTCACAATCAGTTCTGATTTACCCACTACGTCAATGTCATCAGCGAAAGTCAGTAATAATTTTAGGCAATCCCGGCCAGTAAGATCAGTGCTTATTTCAGCTGTACCTTCGCAGTCAATGCTTATTTGAGTCTTTGACTGTATCAATATCATATGTAGTATTATAAAACAGACTCTAGACACCAAATTAACTTACTTCTATGTAATCGTCATCAGATCATATAAGTAGACTATTTTTTCATGTCGTATCAAAATAAATATTTTCTTATATCTGTTTTTCATCTCGTGTAACAACACAACTATTATTGTAATTATAAGTGTCGTTATAAATATTGATTTTGCTATATAGCGGCTTGTTTTTGTAATAAAATCTCACCTTTAAGTACTTAACTAGGAATTTATTATTCTTACTTTTTATTTAGTATTATTTTCTTATAAATTTGATTATGTGTTTACTTTTTTTGTTTACTGAAATTTCAACAGTTACCTATATGTGTCTTAAAAATACCTACTGAACATTGATTTATCTTCAATTTTAAACTTTTGGATAAAAATAACTGAACACTAGCAGTGAAAAACTTCGTACCTCACTGATCAGTCAGTAAAGGAAAAAGGTTTTTTAAATAAAGAAATTAGTCAAAGTCTACGTAACATCTACGTACGAATTTTATTGGTTGTCAATATTACAATGTTCATATACATATAGTTCGAGAGCTAGCAACTCCGGAAAAAACAAGTATTTTAAGACGTCTGGGCCTTGTTTATATATTCTTTACTATGTTCTCCTAGAACAGCATGCGCCCGGGCCCGCCTGGCTCCGGTAAACGTTGCGTTCCCTGCTGCGCATTGAAAGAAGATCCTATATTTTTATTAGTCCTTTAAATTCTAGCTTTGAATATAAATGGAACATGTCTCCATAGCGCACTGCGTAGAGTTTCCGACCCCGAACCGATGATTCAGAGTTCGAATCCGGGTCAGGGGCAAGGGAACTTTTTTATTTTTATTTTCGTTTATATTCTGATACTAAAGTATTATAGGTGCCCGGTGGCACGACTAATGATATTTATAGTATTAAGGTTGCCCGGTGCGTAGAGGTTACAGGCTCTCGTTCTACCAATTCAAGGTGTGGGTTCGATTCCCCCACCCGGCATTTCAACACTCAGAGCCGACTAATTTATTAAATAAAAAAAAAATAGTTTGGGTACCTAGTAGGTCGACTCAGCCTTAAATGATTACTTGAGATTCACATATCCTGAGGTAATAATAAGGCGTGAGCGTAGTGCTAGCCACATTAACCTTCCTTTGTATACGAACGGCTCTAGTCTAGCAAGCTGTACGCCTTACCTACTCCCAAGGCGTTAACCGCTATATACGGAAGCTATTATTATTAGGTAAAGTTATTAAAATTTGTCTTTTTTACATTACTAGAAATTATTTAATACTTTACTATCAGAATATAAGCGAAAAAAAAAAAAAAGGTCTTTTAACCAGACCCCCCGGATTCGAACTCTGGATCATCGCATCGGTTCGTGGTCGGAAAATCTACGCACTACGCTATGTTCGATTTATATTCAAAAACGCTGTCTAAAAAATAAAAAAAAAAAATATTTAATAGGACTAAATAATAAAAAAAATATAGGATCTTCTTCAGATGCGCAGTAGTAAACGCAACTGGTATCGGCGGCCAGACGGGCCGCATCCTGTTCCAGAGAGCATATTAAAAAGATATATCAAAATATTTTTTGTTTATTTTCTTAACAATACTTATACTCAAAAACACCGTTGCTAGCTCTTTAGACTATTAGATTTGCAAGGCAAAGTATATAATACAACAATATGAGCGTATATATGTCATGGTATACTTCTCTTACAAATTCGTTTTTAAATTCGATGTTTTCTTTAAAAACTCAAGCACAACAATCTCATATACAGTGTGTCAGATTTAGTAACCTACCATATTTACTATTGTATTATTATTACTATTATTTTCTATTAAATTCTACTACTTCCGAACGATTGTATTATGTATTTTAAAGCATTGCACTTGTACAGCTATGGCACGAAGGAAAATGGTGAAGTTCTCCGAGAACCGCAATCGGGGATATGAAGATACGAATGGGACCCAGATTATCAAAAATTTAACTGAATATGGTCTCGATGAAAAGGTTCGTACATTTCCCCACATCAGAATCTAAGGGAATTTAAATATGTTTTCCCGCAAAAATAACAAGGAAAAAATAAATAAAAATAAACAAAGATTTATTGTTAGGAACTAAAAAACTATTAAGAGACATAGAAATAGACTCGGAACTAATAACCTGGACTTAACGTAATTAATTACGTCTTTTGAAATATAAAATAACTAAAATAACTGACTGTAAATACTATAGGTACGCCAATGCAAACATAAAGTATTTTTAAAAAAAAAAAAAAAAAAAAAAAATATTTAAATTTAATAATAGCATGATTTTTTTTTGTTAAAAGTTTGAAACCAACATTCGGTCCGTAAATATTTTTGTTGCCTATTTTGAGAATTTTTGAGAGGACCTACTGATTTTAAAATAAATACGAGATATGCATAGTAATACATTTCTCTGTCTCTCGTTGTTTATGATGACTAGGCTATTGTTAGTTAGTGTGAATATTCAGAAATTAATTTGAATATGATGAATTTATTTATTAATTTCTAATTTCTTTAATTTTATACCCTAGTGATAAGGGTGGCCCATCACAAATTTTATTTTATTTTTTTTGGAAAAAAAAAAAAATTTGTTTTAATTTATTATTTGATGTGGCATTAAAACATACATACAACCCTAAATTTTCACCAATTCTACCATCCCATATTTTCATGCGATTTTGTTAATTAATTTGATTTATTTAACAAATTGTTTTTAAAATTCTTTTAGAATACCTTAAATTAAAAATATGAGTCATATGATTGGGTATATACCGGGTATAATAGTGTTTACCCAAATTCCAATATAACCCTTATTGACCCTTTAGGGTATCTACGCCGGGCACACTTGCGATGCGCGGTACACCACATGTTTTTTTAAATCTTTCTCCATTCTTTTCTTTTTCTAATATGCAAATTATGTTAAGTACTTTTTATTGTTAAATAAAAAAAAAACATTTTTATGAAAAATGCATTTTTCTTCAAAATATTAAAAAATGTTTTTCCTCTGTGACAATCCTCGGGGACATACTGTATAGGAGAGACCGCCTAATCTATTTTTAAAGTAATGGGAAAAGGACGAAAAATGTATACGTTGGAACGACCTAAAAAAAGCCAAGAATAAAACAGATAAAAAAAATATATAGTATTACAGGTCAAAGAAAACGAAACAAAAAAAATATACAATATAAACAACATATTGTGATTAGTAGATATCTGAACCAAACCCAAAATGATTTGGAGCCTGGAAAAGTAGTATTTTGCAGCTCGAGCTCAGGCCTTTGAAGCCTAGCAAGATCTGCAAAATATTGTGTTTGTTTTGATCATTTCGGAGCGCTTCGGCTTTTTCCGGAAATCGGAGAGTCGCTTATTTTCACATTTTTCGTCTTAATTCAAATTTACTTATTATTTTCTTTTCATTTTACAAATAAATATAGCTGTGCTGCATATTGGAAACTTTATTTTATATTAAGGACCATGTATGAAATACCTATGGAACATTAAAAACCGACGTTATACCACTATGCCACGATGGTTTTTGCAGTTCACAGTTCACACAGCCTTATAAGTTTTTTTAATGCCACATTTTCACAATTATCACAGGTTTGAGTAAATAAAATTTAAATTAAACTCACAAGATAGCAATAATTACTTTCAAAACGGACGTTTTAAACACTTCAGTATTTTTTCAATGAGGGCGGTTTAAATTTTGAAAGATTTTTACAAAGAATATAGCAAGAAAAATAAAGTGCCTTACTAAAAAATGGTTTCATGTTAGTGGCGCCATCTATTGTGAGGGGCTTACATACGCTTATTTATATCATATTATATTCCATAAAACTATCATTTTGAATATGAAAACCATCTTAAAAGCTATTTTTTACACAATATTAACAAATCTAATGCAAAGCGTTACTATGTGTTGTGTAAAAAAATAAATTTAATAGTCAAATTTATACATACAAAAAATAGAAGTCAAATATATAAACATTTGTAAATGGAGAAAATATAAATAGGGACTTAAATTTAAATGATGGAAGAAATAAAGACTAAAGCTTCATTCAGAACCTCGTAATTAGTGGAGTAAATTAGTAGTTTCAATTAGCGTAGAAATTTGTTTCTCTAATTTGAATGTAAGCATTCAGAGCGTCAAAATTAGTGGTAGGAATTTTCAATTAGTGGAAAAAGTTAACAAACCTTTGACTTTTCCACTAATTATACTTCAAAATTTGCGAGGAATGTCATTTTGACCTTTGATTATCATCCGTCAAGAAAAAATGTGTTCTCTATGGATACAACTGCTTACTCCAAGCTGTTCCTAGGATATTCTATTAATTTTAATTGCAAATGATTGTAAACTAAAAAGTATAAAGTGTAATTGAAACCACTAATTTATTCCACTAATTGCGAGGTTCTGAATGAAGCTTTACATTGTATTTTAGGGCCACAAATAAAAAGAATTGTCCAATTAAAACACATAATAAAAATTATACTTTGAAAATCGTTCTGATAATAAGATTGGCGTTATGAACTATGGAAATATGATTGGTGTTGGAAACTATGAAAACTACAAAAAAATTCTGATTTAACGCCATCCGGCAATTACTAGTAGCTTTGAATAAGAAGACTAAGGAAGGAGCATATCAAAAATCTTAGGTACACCGCGATAGGCCTCAAATATGGCCGGCATAAATTCCGGTTTATCAGTGTTGTTCTAATTTTATTTAAAAAATGTAAAACTATGATGTAGGGTAGACGTGGGGTAGACTCAATAATTTGTTGTTTTATTTTACGTTGTGAATAAATGTTGGTAGTTATTAAAATTGTTATAAAAATATATAATTCTAATAAAAATAGATAAGTTATAATAAGTATTTATTAACACAAACATCTGATACGCTACTAAAGCAGGTAAGTCAAATTAACGTATCTAAATTCTTTGACATCTAATCTTTGACAAGTAATAAATAAAAGCTAAAATGCAAGAAAAATATATAATTTAGTTAATTTAAGCGAATTTCATAAATGATCGGTTTACTACACGTATGTGTATATTATATAGTCACTTACTAGCGAAAAGTTGTTCCATTCCCTCAATTTTTGCCGAGATCTACCGCACGCTACACAACAACTAACTATTTTAGAGTCTTTTTCGATAAATCGCGATAGTGTCACTGTTAATTTAAGTTCTGCCACAATTTCCATCTAGATTTACTACCTTTATACAACTATCAGTAGTTGAATAAATAATAAATAACATAAAATAAGCTCCGTAAAGACTGACAAATCCACAAAATTTCAAATCAAATTCAAATGTGTCAAATGAATCGTCAAACAGAACTGTCAAGGATTCCCACCTTAGAGTGCTTTTTCCGCCCACCATGCATGAATACATGGATAGCATTATGCTTCTTCCTTAGTCTTCTTATTCAAAGACTAGTAGCAACTTCCTAACCTAAAAATTAATTGCACTAGCGACCACCACCTAGCGACCGGGGCTGGAACTATTTTATTTGAAATTTCCATGGAAACGGTGGAACCGATTTTGCTATTCGCACTATATCACCTGCCCGCCCCTGATTTTATATTTTTTAAAGATTCTGACTTTGACAAGCGAAAATTATTTCTGTTCCTATCCTGATATTCTGATCGCGAACAACGTATACATCCAAAACAGTTATACGTTTTGGCGGAAAGCCGATCATTCCAATCTAAATTTATTTCCTTTATCTATGGTTAATCGTCAATAAAATTATTACCTCAAATCAAATGCCAATTACCATACAATGTGCAGAAATTAACGAATTGTCAAAAATAACATTGATCGATATCACTCAATAAAGATTACAGTTGGGGGTTGGAACCTTTGGTGTTACACAGCAAAATAAAACACTAAATCACCACAATACACCAAAACACTTTTACTTTTACGCTGGACGCGCGTTTCGCGTTTAGTTTATAATCATCTGCTGATGATGCTAACATGGTTAGCGAAACGCGCGTTCAGTGTAAAAGTAAAAGTGTTTTTGGTGTATTGTGGTGATTTAGTGTTTTATTTTGTTTTTTTTTCACTCAATAAAGTTATAACCTCAAATGAAATGACAATTGCAGTAATTTACGTAATGACGTCAGCAATATCTTTCATCTGGTTGTCAAGCACCAATGACTAAAGAATTCAAGCACAAATAACACCCGAGAGCAAATTGTTACCATATCACCAAACAGTGCCGTGGCACATATTTTTCTTAACTTAGCTGTTTGAAGAGATATTGTTTTGACTATGCCTACTAATTAATTACGAAAAAAACGTATTAAAATGTTAACAAAAGGTACAAAACTAGTATCGATGTATAGCACACATCATGTACATATAATATCAGAAAAATAATTATCGAATTCAGTAAGAAAACTAAGAAAACGCTGGAGCGGACTGTTTATTTACCTATGAAACGTAACTCCTGGCTCTTTCTTATCGCAGCGGCTTTTACAACTAATCGCCATTGTAATAAAGTTTATACAAAGTTTACTATACACAAACTATTTAAAATCGCTAAACTTGTCGCTGATGACCAATGGCGTCTAATGTCACAAATTCTGCTGTAGTCCGTATATGGGCGTTACATGTCCTTATATTCTTTAGTCATTGTCAAGCATTGAAAAGAAGAACAAGGTAGAAACAAGGTATGATATTGCGCAGGTTGGTCACTACGTTACAGGTGATTCGCGCGCCAATTTCAAATCGTCAAATTGATGACACAAAATAAATGTGAAAATGTCTTTTCATTGTCAAACTCAATTATTTGACATAAATTTGAGGTTCTCTCTTAATTCTTCCCTATTTTAGAAAAAGTGTCTTTTCTCATCACTTTTTATTACAATTACAAAGTGACTTTTATGTCTGATCAAAATACTGTTTGTTTCTGAATGATTGTGGTTATTAAAATTACTAATTTAAATATCTGTTTTTTTTTTCAGGTGGCATCTAAACTGGATGAAATCTACAAAACCGGCAAGCTAGTCCACCGAGATCTGGACGAACGTGCCCTGGACGCTCTCAAAGAGTTCCACGTTGATGGCGCTCTCAACGTGCTCGGCCAATTTCTCGATTCCAACCTGGAGCACGTATCCAACAAGTCGGCCTACCTTTGCGGCGTTATGAAAACATATAGGTAGGCATCTGTGTGAATTCTCTTCTTCGACTGAAAAAATAAAAATATTATAGGGGTTTTGAAAAAAAAACACTATATTAATCAAAACACAATCGTACACACTATAGGCTTGGTGCATTTCAGTTGATTTCAACAAATTCCGACCGCAGCGCTTCAACGGCAAAAATCAGAAATTATCAGTACCTATTTCACGCCGCCATCATGACGCCATGATCACATTAAAATAATATTGAAATCGTGGTTTTGTCATAATATTTAAGTATTTTAGTTTTTTGCTAGTGCAGTTATTGAGACTATAAAACACTCAGGTACGAGGTTTGTGTGATGTAACGCTGTTTCGGGTAGTAAAAAATAAGCGAAAAAGAATTCGAACTAGGCGTCGGCGTCGTGTTGTGTTGTGACAATTTCAAATGTTAATAAAATTGCCCAAAAAATGTTAACGCTTCAAAGAGAGCGTAATTAGGGCATTGTTGGGTGCAATAACATGCAACAATTCAACTTACCCGGATATTCAACACTTTATAGCTTTATAGTTTCTCACACCGATTTGATCAAAAGCGAAAACGGATTCAAGCAGTTCGACGAAACAAGTGAGTAAACAAAGTGCTCGTTACATAATCAAAAAATTAAATAGGCATATACTATGAGGGGATAAAATATAATTTGCAATATTAAGGGTATACTTTTTTTTAATTAACTATTGATTAAATGTTTTATGAACATCTAAAATTATAATTATGTGCCTTTAAAAAATTTGGTTATAGCCGAAATAACCCCAATTATGCCCTACTAGCAAAACCGGTGATTAAAACTATGCTCGCTACCGTAGTTGAACTCATCTAAAATTTTTTTTTTAACTGGAATAATAAATTATGATACAAGTTAGTACTTCTGAAGATATCAAAATATTTTTATTTTTTGAATATTCACAAATTACACTTCTTAATACTTTTTGAATAATTAAATAATACAATTTTCGTATTCTTGTTATTTAACGAGCCGTGTATACTAGCCCGTGTATTTTTAAGTACTAGTTGTTTACGATATTCTCCGATGGTGGCAGCACCGGCGGAGAATGCACCAAGCTTATAGGTACGCAAGGAAAAGCAGTAATGGCACCTGCCTGCGAACCCCAAACGGAAAATGTGTGGTTAATTATTATGTCAACTATTGGCTTAAATGCAATACGCATTGCATTTAATTAGACAATGAAAAACTTATGAAAACTCAATTTTCTATCTTTCATTGTAGGAGCATACATCTTCTCATTGCTTATATGGGGAGGCCGCATTATATTCTTTTATAAGTATATGGTTTGGTTAGATTACAAGTAGAAATAGCTTGGTCACCTTGTAAAATCATTTTTTAAGAAGTTTTATTTCTTTTGTAGACAAAAAAGTAGAGCGGGGTCAAGTCAGGGCTCAACGGCGCCCGCACCAGTGCCAGCAAAAGGTCCAGATGAAGAGAAAATTAAACAAATTTTGGATAGGACAGGATATACGTTAGATGTAACTACAGGTAACGTTTGCTTTGTAAATATTTTTTAAACCTAGCACTGTAGCCCTGGGACTTATTATAGCTTCACACTCACTAACTTAAAAGTAAATATTAAGGGTGGGGTATATCAACAACAGTTTTACTGTGGCTGATGTTTTAGCGTTTCACATCATAACGGGTTTGGTTTGGTGCATCGTGGTTGGAAAGATAGGAAATTCCATGCAAATTTTGAACTGTTCAAATATTGGCTTCCCTATTGATTTTTTAGCTAAGTTGTAAATCGATTCTTTAAAGGTCTACGTTTGGTAAACATACATGCCAAATTTGAACAATTTTGGACAAGCCGGATTTCATTAATTTGAGAAAAACTGCATGTATTTTTAAATTAAAACCGACCAGGTAACAATCAAACACCAGTCAAAAACCGACATACCTTATATTGTCAACGTCATTTTCAAACATAACTTAGGCTGCATTCCGTTGCAAAACCAGGCGAACCAGACCGGTAAACTACGGTAAAGAGCGGTTCCTGAAAAACATCGGTTTGATACGGAACGGTTTGGTAAAATACTCGAAATGTCGAATATTGACGTTTTCTAAATTTCAATAGTTTCAAATATTTGAACAGGTCAAAATTTGCATGGGATTTTCTGTTTCCAACGACGATTCACCACCCGGTATATCAATAAATGCTACTAATAATAATTAATTGAGAAAATTATCTAATTAAAATATATAAATTGGTGTAATTATTATATTAAATATCATAGATACGCTAATGGTGCAAATAAGTGAAATTTATAAAATTGCCATTTCTTAATTAAGCTAATTATTCTTGGCAGCGGGTAATAAATGAGAGAATATAAACATAATAATCAGTTAACTTTTTTATTTCATAATTTATTTGCTACTATAGGCTGTCCAACGAATTAGGGAAGATTTCGACAAACAACATCCAAAAATGACAGAATTAAATTTACCTGAAAATGATTCTCTCGTTGAACACACTATAGTAACTAATTATGAAAAAGTGAAAAATATTTATTCTTTTTTTAATTATAAAATTTTTTAAAGGTACATAAGGTTTGTTCCAACCAGCATTTCGGGATCGTTTCGAAATCGTACTCGAATCGGTTTTCTTGCATTTTCTTGCATTTTTCGGGACTGTCAAATGTGTCAAGCGTGCGTGTATCGAACGGTTTTTGTTTTTGTTCGAGGAAACAAGAAAATACGATTAAAGTTTACCTAAATATTGTTCATTTTTCACCCTTTCACTAGGCAGCAACTCCAAATTGTCACTATCTGAAGTGGAGGTAAAGAAATCAGTCATACCATTGTCACTCATCCTTAATTATTATCTATAGATAATTATGAAAGTGTACAATTTAAAATTTCCGAATGATTTACTCCACACAAACTCACAAGCAAAAGTACAACGCACACCTATTCGAATTCGTAAAAAATAACCAAGACAGAAGCATCAGCCGGACGCCGGACCAGAATCAGCTGTTAAAAATCGATAATCCCTGCCAATATGCTTTAATGCGCAAGTCAACCCAAACAGTTCTCAATTTGGACCATGTACCGAAATTACCGTTCTGAAATCGTAACTAAACGATCCCCGGGTAGGTTGGTACGCAAATAGGATCGTCCGATAACCGTCAAATCTCGGTTGGAACACATTTGAATTACTGCGCACGAGCGTGATTGTTCGGTGACGGTACTGCAGCGGGTTGGAACAGACCTATTAGAATTTTAGAAGACGTTCATAAAAAAACTAAGCACTAGTTGATTAAAAAGAAGTATACCATTAATATTGGACTGGGTCATTACAACGACTGGGATCCTTTAAACGCATACTAATTAGGCTTAATTGTTTTTTAGGCCAAAGAAAATACGGGGGTCCGCCTCCCGGATGGGACGGCAGTACCCCCGGCTCGGGGTGCGAGGTGTTCTGCGGCAAAATTCCTAAAGACATGTACGAGGACGAGCTGATACCCCTGTTCGAGCAGTGCGGCCCCATCTGGGACCTGCGGCTCATGATGGACCCGATGACCGGCACGAACCGGGGCTACGCCTTCGTTACGTTCACCACGAGGGAGGCGGCTCAAGTGGCCGTGCAAAAGGTAAGAAGGGCCCCCCTTTATCACGCTACCCGATCTCCAAATTGTGGAAAAAGCTCCGACTTGGGTAGTTTTCAGTTGAGACTGCTCGGGTTCATACACTGAAAAAAGAGAGACAAAAAATTGACAAGGAAATGTTTTGTTTGTAGATCTAGTAGAAGTAATTCTGTGTCTGACAGTGCGTGTACTGTCAGAGTCAGAGTCATGTTAAAATATAAAGTAAAGTACACTCATTAACTTACTGGATTTGTTTTAGTCAATAAATCTTAATAGTAAATAAAAATTTTAGAAAAATAATAGTTCTGCTATTGGAACAACTAAGTAAAATGAATGCATAATATTTTCTCGCATATAAAAATCTCCTTAATCAATATTGACATTTTAGATTATTTTTAAAGATGTAACAAATTTTTAAAAAGTACAGATACTAATATTGTCGATATAGTTCGTTTATTTCATTAAAAAATAAAAAAAATGTTTAAATATTTGTTAAAGAGGACTAATTAATATGATTTCAGTATTCAAACTACATTATACATTAATTTAATCTTTGCGTTGATTAACAAAAATTGCTCCAAATACTAAAAAACTGAATTTTGTATGTATATTAGACAGTGTGGTAAAGAGTAACACCTTAAACATTTTATTGCATTTTTTGACGAACGCTTATTTATAACAACAGAGGCGTTCATTTTCATAACTTATTATTATATTAATTTCTGATTCAAATCCACATTTATTTAGAATAATTTATTAACTAATACAATTAAGTATGTAATTAATTAATATTTGGGCGGAAATAAAGGTGGTATATTTAATTAATGGTATACTCTTTTGTAAAGATTTAAAGTTTTCTTTTTGTATACAAATCGGCTAGTAATATCGTTTTTAGGACCTGTACATTTTGTACATTTGTTGGTTTTAAAACAATCTAAAATGTCAATATTCCATGGGTATATTGATAAATGAGCCCTAAATTATAAGAAAATGCATTTTCTGATGGTGGCCATACCCTGTAAATATACAGGGTATTCCATTTAAATTAAACAAGTTATTGCCGTTTAAAGCTAGAAATTATTTAAAATAAATTTTTAGACACTCTGTGTGAGGTAGTATTATTTTTATTATTGCAACACAATAACTGATCAAAAAACTTTGATACTCTTGGAGAAATGAATTAAAATTTTTACTGCAATTTCACAAAACTGAAAATATTTCAAAAACGGTGTGAAAATCAAATTTACCTTTATTTTAATCATAGAAACTAAAAATGTAATAATATATAGGGTGTTCCATTTACAAAAAATACAACTTTGATTTTTTTATTTATTTGAAACGCTCTGTATCTTGTAAAAATATTTTTAAATTGTAGCTCTAATAGTCCTTCAACGAACCCAGAACTTAAAATTTGTAAAAATACTCCGTGTCGTATGTGGCATATATGGAAACAACCCTGTAGTTTCAATTTTCCTGTATATTTTAGAAAACTTTTTAGAACTGCCTGTTCACCGTAAGTTTTTCCAGGGTATATATTCTTAGTGTCTGATATTACTATAGCCAATTTCGAGTGAACAACCGTTGGTTATGGTTGACAGATAAACAATGCTTTAAACGTCAATTGTCTACCGATTGGTTGACAACTTGAGACTTGTTTATGTTGTCGGGTGGCTCTCAATTTTTTTAAAAATAAATAATTTTTTTTTAATTTTTAAACTAGAATAACTCACTTATTTTGGACATATCTGAAAAATGGCAAAGAGAAAATATGTTTCTTTTATCGAGATCTACGATCCCTGAAAATATTTGCACTTATTTAAGGCTCATCCTGTATAATTACTCCTACCAAACAAACATTTTCATTGTAAAACAATTTGAAAAAAAATAAATAGTTTTTTCAGTGTATTGATATTTCGCATATATATTTTTTTAACTTTTTAAGCTTATCATTTTTGAGATCGCATTGTAGCTTCGAATAGAAAGGGGGGGCCCTTTCTAGTGCTAGTAGAACTCGAAGTTTTTTTTATTCTCAGTACACGTATCACGTAAATTTTTGGGGGGCATATTTTGTGTGGTCCATTAGGTATTTTTTTAGGTTAGGATATTTTCAGAGGTGTGAAATTGCAAAATTGAGGGTGCTTTTTCGGTGCGGTCTTGTAGTTTTGTAAGTTGGTAGGTAAATCTGTTTTTAAATATATAAGAAACTTTTTTGGCACAAGCTTTTCCTGTTCTGTTTTTGTATCTGTTATGTTTTGTATTTGACATTTCTGTTGAATATAGAATTAGAAATTGCAAACTGCAAAGAATTAAAAAATGTATAAATACACTGCATAATAAACTCTAGGAAGTGTACTTTTGATACATAGAGTGAGTGTATGTACAGGGTGGGCCAAATTGGACGGTTTTAAAGGGAAACGCCCTTTTCTATAGGAGATAGACGAAAACTAATATCGGTAACTGGAGTTCAATTTTTGTCAAAAACATGATGGTGAAAACCGCATATCGATATATGTTACCGTTTCGTAGTTATGGGTGTTTCTCAAAAATATGCATTTTTAACAAATCGCTGTAACTTTTTTGCTGTGGAAAATTTTGTATTTTTATGAAAACATTTCCAAAGCATCTTTTTACGTAGAGTTTAATGGTTCAATTATAATTTTTTTAAAATTAATAGTTTAAGAATTATCAACAGAAAATTTGATTTTTTATATGAGACACCCTGTATATTTTTAATTTATTGAAAAGAATTTAAAATTATCTTTCCAAAAATATAGCACACTTGATATTTTGCTCGATTTCTCTTCGAGATATAGAGTTTATAAAAATTCGCCCACTTTAAATACTTTGAACGGCGCCGGCTGTAATGCAAAAAAATTCTAGCTGTGAGCATTAAAACGAAAATAATATTTGCTATAAGAGATGCAGAATTTTATAACAATTTTAACTATATTTAACCAACATCAACACATTGAAACTATATCTAATAACAATAAAAATAAATAGCAAACCAAGACATGACATTTTGCTACAGGTGTTCGACTATCGACCGTCTTCTGTTATGGACAGACGGGGCCGTTTTTGAACATTTTTCGCGGAATTCATTAACTCAGTGGGGGTGAAAGATACCGTCTCATAACTACTTATTACTTCTAATTCTTGTCTAGATTATAGGGGCAATTTAAAAATACGAACTGTTATTCTACCGCAAATACCTATATCCATAGAATAGATCCATAGACACTAAGTCCGGCGTCCTCGACGGCCAACGGCTGGGATCTTGGTTATCTATTCAATTATTCTTGAAATTAGCTGCAAAAATTTGCTGATAACTTCAGCGTCCTGAGGCGGTGCCTCGTCTTGCTGGAAAAATATGTTTTTGAGTTCCATTAGGGGCATATTATCAATAAGGGGTCCAAAGGCCTACTAGTTAAAAGTGGCAAACTTTTAAAAATTCTGTATTTCGAAGGGGATTATAACAAAATATCAAGTGTGCTATATTTTTGGAAAGGTAATTTTAAGTTCTTTTCAGTTAATTAAAAATATATAGGGTGTCCCAAATAAAAAATCAGTTTTTCTGTTGAAAACTCTTAAATTATTAATTTTAAAAAAATTATTCTTAAACCATTAAATTCTACGTAAAAAGGTGTTTTGGAAATGTTTTCATAGAAATACAAAATTTTCCATAGCAAAAACATTACAGCGATTTGTTAAAAATGCATATTTTTGAAAAACACCCCGTAACTCCGAAACGGTAACAGATATCGATGTGCGGTTTTCACCATCATGTTTTTGATGAAAATTGAGCCCCAGACACCGATATTAGTTTTATCTATCTCCTATAGAGAAGGGCGTTTCCCTTTAAAAGCGTCCAATTTGACCTACTCTGTACAGGGTGTCCAATTTTCGTGTGTTTTACAGGGTTTCGCGCATTTGAGTAGAGATAAGATACAAAGATGCGGTTTTCACGTTTAAAAACATGTTAACAATTTCAAAATGGCCCTCTGTATTTCAGGAACTAAGAACGCTAGGAGAAATCTGTGTGTTTAGTTTCATAAAGAAGTAACGTAGTGATGTAAAAACCGCATCTTTGCATTTACTAAAAAACAAGAAACTCCATAAAACATATCAACATGGGACACACTGTAGTGTATGTAGATGCAGCCATATTGAAGAAAGTCTTAGTTGGCTGTTTTTCTTTAATTCTTTAGTTACGTCTGTTAGCAGTGGAAAGTGGTAGCAACCACCCTAACAAGCAGAGGCTTACAAGGGCTGACGAAAAAGTACCCGACATTTTCCCCCGTATATCTAATTGGCGATTCTATTATAGATGTGTCTCGACAGCTGTGTGTCACAGCCAGCAATTTTAGTGTATGACTTTTGTTGCAGCGGCTCTGACAACGGAGCTCACAAACTGACTATCCTTGTAGCTTCTTCTACTACTTCTCTTCATCTCTCCTGCACACTGTTTTTTTTTTAAATCTATTCGACAAATGTGAAAAACTATGATTTTCGATTCATTTTTGAACTACTTTCTCTTTCGGATAGTACTTGAGCCCAAAGGGCGGAGCTTATTGAAGCATTTAAGCACGCCCACTTTCCAAATTGACAGTATTGTCTTCAAAAATTATTTAAAATTTAAGGTCTCCTCTTTGCATGACGGCAGCAGCCATGAGGCGGCAGATTTTGGAGTAGATGGTGGCCTTTAGCTGTTACTTTTGTTTCTCAAGCGTACTGATCATTTTATTTGTAATTTTCGTTAATTTTTTTAGAATTTTTTTAATATAAATGCTATATTTTGAATATAAAGAAACCTATACAAACAATAGCTACAATAAAACGCTCAGTAGCTTGAGTTTTTGTTTATTTTTGGGGAATAAGAGTGTCGTTTGGTGCCTTTGGTAGTTTGTTTGGTGGAAAACAAAGTTAGCAAATTCGAAATTATATTTTTGGGAAATTTTTAGATTTTGTTTTGTATATGTTATATTTATTACAGTCGAAAATTTTGAGTTGTTTCTGTATTTCTATGTATTTTTTTAATGATATATTTTGCAGAATATCAAAATTTTCGTTATCCAAATTGTTACAGCTGAAAATACGGCTTGTTAGCTGAATTTTTAGCTTAATCTAGCAGTTTACTATATAAGAATCAAATGTATAAGGTACAAGAAATATTTTTTACTTTAACTTCTTCGTCTTTTTAATATATCTAATGAAGTAGGGTTAGGATAGGGTTTTCCATGTCATACTCCAATTAAACTTGTTAATATTGCATTATTTTGTATACGAGTTATGTTAATAATTCATAAAAATGGTTTGCGTTTTTCTGCAAAGATACAAAAAAAAAACAATTTGCTCAGTTAATGATATAAATTAATTTTATATGGCGTGTTATTGTTAAATATGATAATGTGTTTTTATTCAAGTATGTCGGTACTAATTAAAAACATGGTCGTAAGAAAGTATATTAAAAATCGTTAGAACTGTATTGTATAGGTGGCTGTGGTTTAAAATACGACATCTACTTTTTATTCTAAATTTTTTAGTTATAGTTTGTTTGGAGTTTGATATGATGCAGAGACTTTTTTAGGAATAATACCAATTTATGAAAAACTTAAAAATATTTTTTCCATTTGTGTCAAAAAATGTTTAAGCTTAAAATATCACAACACAATTCATTTAAACCAAAAACTTCTGATACAAAACTAAAGTGTCAAAACAAACGACAATGTCAGGAAATAAATAAATAAATATGGCAACTTGACATTTTGAATTTAAACATGACGCCCTCGATTACGTAACTAAAAGTTTAATTATTGGTATCTCTTATACAGGGTGAGTTTCCTACGATGTTCTCTATGGGTATCTCGGAAACTGTTGGAGATAGAGGGTCGGTTAAATGGGGAAAGAATTGCAGTTTTCTGGGGTCATAAATATGCGATAGATTTTTGAAAAAGTTCATGGCTTACTAGATATTTCGAAAAAAAACAAATTTCGGCTATTTTAAAAATTGTCCCTAATTCCATTATAATCTATTTTAGACAAAAAGTTTTCAGATAAAAGTTGTAGAGAATTACATCCCTAATAAGTTTGCGTTCCACGATTTTTTCTAAAGCCTGTCATTTTTGACATATGACACAAACATATATTTTTTAAATGGAAACCATAGTTGGCCATGACTTCATAAAAGCGCCATTTCTTAAGCTTTTCAGCGATATAAGCTATAATATGTTTATTTTTCGAAAAATTACTGAGTTATAGCCAATTCTTATTTTCTTGACAAATTTAACTTAGTTGGTATGGTATTCTTATTCTGTTATGATTTCTAACTTATAAAAAGGCAGAATATTTTATTAAACGGTTCTTAACAATTTACTTTACACAAACTAAAACTTAAAATAAACTAATATCACTACATACACTTTAAGTTATTTTAGCAAATGTTCAAAAAAAACGCCATTGTTTTGAGTACTTAAAATGCATCTTTGTAATACTGAATTACAAGCTTTTCCTACAGAACAGCCGGTCGACTTCAATAAACTTCTCCCGTACCGCCTCTTCGAGTGCCTCTCTTAATTCATAAATTCTTTTATAAACTTTGTTAAAAAAATCTAAAATGGATAGGTCAGTTGATCGAGGAGACCCATGCAATTGGTCCACCTCTCCTTATCTATGAGTTTGCATAATTATGAAATAAATCATTTTTAACATTTCTTTCATTATAAGGGGGAGTGTCATAATGAAAGTCATGTTGAAACCACTCTATTGATGCGCGAGTATCTAAATTTAACTTTTCTAAAAAATGTAAATAACGTTCATTGGTCAACATGTCCTTGGAAATGTATGGCCAACAAAAATTGAACCAATAATCCTACACGCTTTTCTTTATTTGTAAAATTCATATTTACAGTTTTTGTTTATTTTAGTTTACAAAGTTTGGATGTGACAGTTTCACATTACTGAGAGCAACGACGATTGAACTTGTTCTCATGGCTAACTAAGTGAAATTGTTTAAAAATGATAAGAATGGGCTATAACTCGTAAGTAAGTTAACTAAGCTTTAACTCGTAAGTATTTTTTCGAAAGAAACATAGGGGGGCTTATATCGCTGAAAAGCTTAAAAATGGCGCTTTTTATGAAGTCATAGCCAACTATGGTTTCCATTTAAAAAAACATATGTTTGTGTCATATGTCAAAAATGACAGGCTTTAGAAAAAAAAACGGAGGACACAATCTCATTAATGATGTGATTATCTACAACTTTTATCTGAAAACTTTTTGTCTAAAATAGATTATAATGTAATTAGGGACAATTTTTGAAATAGCCGAAATTTGTTTTCAAAAAAAGCTTTTTCAAAAATCTGAAAAGCGCATGTTTATGACCCCACAAAACTGCAATTCTTTTCTTATTTAACCGACTCCTTATATCCAGTAGTTTCCGAGATACCCATAGAGAACATCGTAGGAAACTCACCTGTAGATAGTAAGCATATTCTACTTTTTCAGTTACATTATTAGATTGTAAGAATAAAATAAATTTACAGAAATAATCTGGGAAGTCTGGATGTATCGCGGCTATATCTGTGAAAAAACAGATAGTGTTTTCTTTATCGTTAAATTTATATTTTTTTACTTTCTATGACGTGATGACGTAAACCTTTGAAACACCAAGAAGTGTTATTTGTTGGTCGGATAAATTTGTGTCCGTGGACTAAACGGCATTTTACAAAACAATTTGAGTAGCGATATGCCCAAATTTTTCAGTAATGCACTCGCCACCAAGATGTATTCATCACAGTAAAAATGTTTCTTGTACCTTACACATTTGTTTTTATATAGCAAACTCTAGGCCCACAAATTTAAAAACAGCATTTTTTGTTTCCAAAATTATTTAACGAAAAATGAACCCGAATCAAAATTTCACCCGTTCGGAACCTGAAATTTAGTTTTGACATGATGGGCCTCAGTGCAAAATTTCTT